CAAAATCATCTTCTGCAGTGAATGCGCACTTTATTTTCGTTGGGCGAGGCAGTCGCACAACGTTAACTGACGGCCCAGCGCGGCGTCGTGGGGGTTTTGGCGTCATGGACTTAATAATTTCTTGATTCAAACTGAACGTACTGGCGTCAGAAAGGAAACTACTGTCACAGGAACTAACAGACGGCGTATTCCTCTCCTCTGGAAACGTCACGGGAATGCCCTTATCAGCAAGCGTAAAGCCAGTCGTCTCGCGCTCCTGTTCGTACCATAACCGTGCCATACCCACCATAGACAGCACATACCGTTTAAGAACCATGTATATTTCTTTTTCACCTCGAGCCACACGCGTTTCAGCAATTTGAATCGCACGACTGTATGTCGTCTTGGCACTTTCCTTATCACCTTGAGCAAAGTACACATCGCCCTCCTTTTGATAAACAAGCACGGCAAGGTGCTCAAAACGGTGTGGGGGAACCTGCTCAAGAAGTGGATAGCAGCCACGCAGTAAATTCAGCTTCAACGAAGCCTTTTTATCTGGTAATGAATCCGCCTCCCTCACGGCATTTAAAATGTGCAACGTAGCAGGATCAGCATCGTTATTGTCAAATTTTATTTCTTCACGGTCAGCGGCTTTCGTCTTTTGACTGCGCTGGTCTATCTTCCGTATCGCACCAAGATCAACACCAACATTTCCGTTTTTAATAGGATGATTCAAATTCCTCCTTGCAGCTCGCCTCACGGAGCCGTTTACAAGCAACATGGCCTGCGAGTGATCGTACGGCGAGGCACTGGTCGCACGGGGAACTCGTCTTCCGGACGACGCGGCTGCCCCCATTTCAAGCAATCAATAAATACAATGAAGTAAGCGAGAAAAAAAAAAAAAAGATATTTGCGTAAATGAGTGAGTAATTGAAACGATGGCACGGGAGGAGACGACGTGTGGTCCCCCCAACGCTAACCCTTAACTATTGCTTACGCCCCTTCTTTTTTCTTCTTCTTGTTGTTGTTGTTTTTTAAACCCCCCTTCCCCTTCCCCCCTCCTTCCTTTTTGGCACAGACGGGGGAAGGCAACTGACAGCTGCAGAGACGGCAGCAGTCGTACGTGAAAAAAAAAGACAAAACACACACAGGGCAGCAGGTGCAGATAACAAGAGAGTGAAAAAAATAATGATAATAACAAGAAGAAAAATCTCCACTGCCACCGGAGATAACAATTCGTAAAGACACACACACACACACACACACACACACATGGAAAAAAAAAGAAAGAAAGGGAAATTCGAAGATATCGTTGACGCCAGTAAACAAAGTATGCATTGCTAGCAATCAATGAAGTCGGCTGCCAGTAGCAGGTCTGAAACGACATCCTGATCCTCATCCGACAATGGGTCCAGCTCACCAAGAAGCGAAAACTCTTCCGTGGAGTTGGGATCCCCAGTGCTGCGCTGCAGCAAATATCGACAGACAAGCTCAAGTGTGCGGCTGGAAAGAGGCTCAAGTGGAATCCTCGGCATCATATTAATGCTGTTCACGGCAAGAACCCCAGGATTCGGTTTGTTCCTTAGTGAATCACCAAATCCTCCGCGATTTGGAAGACAAAAGATGGCGTCAAGCAAAGAAGAAATCATTTTGCTTTGGCGCGCAGCGGCCTCAGGAATAATAAACTCCATGCCATCACCAGATATCATGCATACATATGAAAGAGGCTCAATTGACCGCGTATGCACGCGTAACCGTGACAATGGCTGCAACCCCTGCATGGCTGCACACATGTCTGTGTATGATTTCTGTGAGTGCGCTTCAGAGTTAAAGGGAACGCCAGCCCCCTTTTGCTCTGCCATTGTGCTACTTTCTGAGAAACAAACAATGGCAACGGCCCACCACCACCACCACCATCCCCCAAAAACACAAAACAATGGAATTAAAGAAATCAAAATCAAAGCAATGACCGCGCCATACGCCCGCAGCCGCTCCGCCTCACACACACACACAATTACACAATCTCTATCTCTCTTTCTCTTTCTCTCTCTGATGCAAAGAAAGGCTGCAACTATTTCTACTAATAGCCCGCACCTGCGAGTCCACTCAAAACAGATGCACGGAATAATCGTTAAAACGCGGGCGAGACAAAACGACAAAGCAAGAAAGAGCGTTGGAAAGAACATTGCGCAAGCAGGGAAGAAAAAAAAAGAAAAAAAAATACCCAGACGCTACCCAGAAACAATATCCCCCTCTCCACACACACACACACACACACGTATTATCCTCCCCCAACGTTTAAGTGTCTTTTATTTCCCACGTACCAAGATGCAACCCAATTCCCTCTCACCCATGTACCATCTCTTGTCTCCCATTGCTTCCATGACCCGTTCTTCTCATTCTCGCTCTCCTCTAAACAGAATTTTACCATGCCTTTTCCCGCGGAATAAACACGTCGGGGTCGTGAAAAACGGTCGGGTTAAGTACATCTACGCCACCTTCCTTTTCCAACTTACGGCGCACCTTCTCCACCGCCTCCAGTATTGGGGGATGACCAAAGGACTCGTCGTACTCTTTCAGCCACCGACGAAACTTTTCCTCGTTTCGGAGTGTCGCCATCGTCTCACGAAAAACCCATGTGCTTTGCTTGTGGCGTGTGACGCACTCGCGCAAGTCAATCATACGACTTCGGCAGTCGTAGAGTACGTCTAGCTCTTGACTTTCACGTACACATGTCATCAGCCGCTGCCAAAAACGCTGACAGTTATTTTCATTGAGGTAATTGGCCGAAATATTTGTGATATCCGACGAGAAGGTGTCGTCAGGCCCCTCGCGAGCCCCAAACATTGACATTTTGCCTCCCCCCTACTCCCCCTCCGTTTCCCTGGGAAAAAAAAAAAAAAAAAAAAAAAAGAAGAAATTTTTTTTTTTTTATATTTTTGCCAAAAAATGAAATGGGCAGGGGCCCAAACAAACAAAAAAAAAAATAATAATATTTTTTTTATATAAAAAGAAACGGAACGACAGACTTTGAAATAAACAAAAAAAGGGGATGTAAAATGGCACACATCCTCAAAACATTAAAAAAAAAAAAAAAAAAAAAGTAAAAATATCAACAGGCAAGTTGAAATCGATAGACCATCATAACAACAGCTGGTGGGGGAAAAGGGAAAAAAAAAAAAAAAAAAAAAAAAAAACATCAGCCCCCGTCATCAGGCTCAGACATGTCAATTGTTGGCGGGGTTTTTTTTTGTTTTTGTTTTTTGTTTTTTTTAGCTGCACAGTACCAGTTAAACAGCCTCGTCATTTCACGAGCACAATAATAATACTAAAGAAAAAAAAAGGAAAGGAAAAAAAAAAAGTGTTTGAATAAGGAGTATAAAACCAAATATATATATAAATATTTTTTCTACTCAGAGTTGATGTTCATACCAAATTTTCATTTTCCACCGTTTTCTTTTTTTTTTTTTTTTTTTTTTTTTCTTGTAGGAGATTTTTGCTCTCGTTTTCGTTTCTTTTTTTTCTTTTTTGTTTTGTTTTTTGTTTGGTTGGTTGGTTTTTCCCCTTTTTTCTTCTGTTTCTTGCGGCTTTATGAGTCTTTCAAAATCTTCCGCCCTGCCGACCACGGATAATTGCCTCATACCGCTCCAGGTTTCGGCGATTTCCACGGCCCGGTTGGGAACGGGATCCCACCAATCGACGTAACTCATGTTGCACAAATCTATCGCTACCAAACACGCCGACACGGCGTTGATTTTCCTCTGAATTCCCCTGTAGCGGCAGTTGTGGCGGTGCCAACAGTGGCGGCGGCAGTGGCGGCGACTGATACGGCAGTGAGTGTGAGAAGTATCTTCTAGAGACAACAGGCCTGTAGCGTGCCTGACGCCTGGCAATGTTGCCATCCAATGCATCACCAATGCTGCCATTGCTGTTGCTGCTGCTGTTGTTGCTGTTGGGGTTGCCTAGCCGCACACGGCGCACCTCCTCTGCGCGCTGCCGTCGCAAAACCCGCACTAAGTTTCTTGCACTACCCGCCACCGCTGTCGGCTGCGGCGGTTGTTGATTAGAGGAGGAATTTCGGATCATTGTCTCGTCACGGGGTCTCTGCGTCTCCTCTGGTGGACGAGAGATACTACTCGGCATGAATGTAGTAATGCCGTGCTCGCCGCCATCAGCAGAGACACGCTGGAAGAGAGGAAATGACGCATTCACCGGGTCTCTGCCAAAAGCTGAACTGGCAGCAGCAGCTCCTTCCCTCGTGGTGGGCGCTGGCAAAGATGGTTCACAGGCACCGGCTAAAGACCTTCGCTCTTCGTTTGTGGACAGACAATTCGGTCGTTGCGGGTCTCGGTTGACAAGCCCAACAGTCCGTATTTCACCTAAACGCGACGCGTTAACCGATGATGCCGTCCTTATTTCCTCAGCAATGAGATGCTCATGGAAACCCTCACCTGTTCGCTGTGGCACATCCGGTGGCGGCACCGGCTCGAATTCAGCTAAACCAGACTCTAATACGTTTTCAACAGGAAAAAAACCATTCCCACCACTGCCCTCCAGAAGTGTCTCTCTATCAGTTGTACTACCACGTGGGACAAGTGAAGATGTCCTGAACGATTGAACCAATGGCGGTGGAATTCCCAAATGATGCTGCGGCTGCTCTTGTTGTGGTTCTTGTTGTTGCGTCCTGAATACTTCCTGGGGATTTCGCGAATGGTCGCTATGGGCCTCCCCATTAACATCCCCAACGACCTCTCTTGTTGGCGGAAAACTTCGTGCTAAACTTTCCCCTCCCGCGACGGTGTTAATGCTCTGAAACTTTTTATCTTCTTCTTCCTCTTCATTCTCACCCGCACTTCTCCACCATACCGGGGCAACCACATCCTTGTACTGTTGATCGACATCCTGCAAAACAAAGCGGCAGTTTGGACATGTTCTTGTGAGTTCAAGCCACTGGTTCAGACACCGCACGTCAAACATGTGGCCACACGGAAGGCGGTACACCTCGCAGCCGGTGGAAAAAGACTCCTGGCAGATCGAGCAGACCCCCTGCTCCTCCGACACGAGTCGGGCCACAATTCCACAATTTAATTTCATGCGCTGAAGTCGCCCAACCGCTTCCTTTTCAAGTGGAGCGGCCATGCGACGTCGCTGCTCACCGAATAGCACCTGCAGCGCCAGCGCCTGAAGAAGCAACGGCCCCATATCCGCCAAGAAAGGCAAAGAGGCATCCGGCACCGCAGGGCTGTCTCCTTGTCGCGGCACGACCCTCGCAATACCGGGCTGATCAGGCATGACTTGTCCAAGTAAAAGCGTCACTTGATCTCCGCCATCTGCCCCTTCGCGCTGGAGCTGAAGTACAAGGGGCTGACCAGAGTGTTCACGCCGCAACATGTGATCTCGCACAACCTGCAGTAAAAGGACGTACTCCTCTAGTTCAGCATCGCCATTGTTCCCTATCATTCCCTAAAAAAAAAAAAAAAAATCCTCTTTGGGTGTTAATTCCCTTCTCCCTGCAAATTCCTGTGGGATCTATCCACACAGCAGAAAAGCGCACACCGACGCGCCTCAATATCCGCACACACACAAACCTCCAATAATAATAATAATAATAATAAAACGCACGCCAATGTATGTATCGACTACTTTATATATCTAAATATATAATTCTTCAGGCTACTGAGAACAGCTCCCCTGCAGCAATGCCAAAAGCACTTCTTTTGTGAAACCAAACTTCGGACAGGCCCATGCAACAAAAAAAAAAAAGGAAAAAATAATAATAATAATTTGTATTGGCGGTACATACACAATGTAAGCATTACAAAACCCAAACACGCATCAAACCATCAGTTTTGTTTGAGGGATAAAATGTAATGATATCTCCCTCTCTCCCTCTCTCCCTCTCTCTCTCTCTCTCTCTATATATATATATATATATATATGTGGCAATTACAAAAAAAAAGGGGGGAAAAAAAGGGATAAAAATCGCCCAGCGCCTCCCCACTTGCCCATCCTATCCTTGGCATTTTGTGTTACACGCTCGTTTCCCCCATTTTAACGGCAAAAACAAAAACAAAAGAAAAAAAAAAAATGGTTGGAAACAAGCAGAAAAAAAATAAATAAATAAATAAATAAATAAATCTCTCAGCGTCAAAAAGAAAAAGAAGAAGAAAAAACACATTCTCCATTACACGCACGGCAAGAAAGTGAAGGAGGGGAGGAAGGAGGGAAAACTGTGTGTGAAGCTCATCCTTCCCATTTTACACACAGACACACACAAAAAAAAAAAAAAGTAAATGTCATTCTTTTTTTTTCTCCTTCTCTTCATCCCTCCTTTTTTCCTTTCCTTTCCTCTCCTTGGGCCTTGCCGGCAATACATGCATACATGCATACATGCATATATATCACTTCTCAGGTCACAGAAACAAGGAAAAAAAAAAAAAGGAAAAAAAAGAAATATTAGTGTAGACACACAATGTAATGTGCACGTGCGTGAATGTGTTTAATCTCCTCTCATTTCTGTGAATACGAGGGTCATATTTGCAGATGCACCTCCTTTAAAAAGGCTCCACCTCACCCTACCCATCTTTTTTCTTTTCTTTTCTTTTCTGTCTTTCATTCTTTTTTTTTTTTTTCTTTCTTTGCGTGTGTGCGTGTGTGCGTGTGTGTGTGCTTACACCCTCTCTTAGCATATATTTAATATAAAATATTGGTAAAAAGAAAAAAGAAAAAAGAAAAAAAAAAAAAAAAGGGAGAAGCGGCTCACTCACATGTGTGTGTGTGGCCACAAAACAAAAAAAGGGAGGGAAAAAAAAGGATCAAAAGACCGTTCATCATGCATCCTTCCCCCTCCCACACACCGTCCTGCCTCTTTTCTTCTTTCTTTTTTTTCTTTTTTTTCGTTCTTTTTTTTTTTCCTTTTCTTCCTGGTTCGCTTCAATTTGGTCTGGCTTTGGTGGTGGCTGTGACGCGTGTATTTCTTTCTTCCTCTGAATTGCCAGGTGGCGTTCCATGGGCCTCCGTCGCATGCGTGTGAGAATACAACTGCTAGCACGCGTACTCAAACACACACACACACACACGCAAGCGCGCGCATCTTCTCTAGGAAGAGAACCACGATTTATAGCGGCCCTTCAGCTCCTGCATCTGGGGGTCCGTCAGCTCCAGTGGCTTCTCCTCCTTGGAGAATTCCGCAATAAGGCTCTTTTGCTTTTCCGTGAGAGATTTTGGCAGCAGTACGGCAAAGTGGATAAAGAAGTCGCCCGTTTTGTTTTGATTTGGCCGGTGAACGCCACGGCCTCGCAGTACAAGCTTGTCACCTTGCTGCGTCCCAACAGGCACCTTCGTCTCCACTTCCCCCGTCAGCGTTGGTACCCGCACCGTGCCCCCCAGCACCGCTGTCGCCAGCGATATGGGCGTAATGACATGAATGTCACAACCTTCGCGGTGAAATACCGGATGCTCGTCCACCGTAATTTCAACATACAAGTTACCTGGTGGTCCGTTACGCACTCCGGCCTCACCTTTCCCCGAAACCTTGAGGCGCTCCTTGTTGTCTACGCCCTTGGGCACAGGCAAGGTCTGCACACTGCGGTCCTTCACAATACCCTTCCCACTACAATGCGTACAAGACGAGCGTCCCGTCTCACCTGTCCCACCGCAGTGGGTGCAATCTTGCTGCATGTGGAAAAAGCCTGTGCTCATCACCTTCTTCCCGCGTCCACCGCAATGCACGCACTTGGCCTTGGAGCCGGAGTCCTGAAACCCGCTTCCTGTGCACGAGCCACAACGCCGAAACGTGTTGTACGATATCTCCTTGCTGCACCCGTTGACCGCCTCCAGAAAAGACAAGCGAAGTTTAAAGTGAATGTCCGCCCCAGGCTCCGGTCCCTGCGGTTTGCGAGTTTTGTCCTTACCCGCTCCACTCATCTTTTGGAAAATTTCCTCAAAGTCGTTAAATGAAAAGCCTTGCCCTCCAGCAGACGATGAAAAAGGATTGGCACCACCAAAGGGATTAGCACCCGCAAAAGGATTCTCACCGCCAGCCTGTGCAAACGGATTGAAACCGGGACCTGATCCAAATCTATCCGCCGCACCCGAGTTGCCGGTCATATCGTACATACTGCGCTTCTGCGGGTCTGAGAGCACGTCAAACGCCTGCTTCACATCCGCAAAGTCCTCTGCTGCACGAGGATTGGGGTTCACGTCCGGATGAAGCTGTTTGGCCTTCTTCTTGTAGGCCGACTTAATATCCTCCTGCGAGGCATTACGCGCGACACCAAGAACGGAGTATAAATCCTTCTTGGCATTCGTGGAAGAAAAACGCCTCGAAACCCCAAGCCCTGTCAAATCCGCCGCAGCTGCAATACAAGGAGTGAAGGCCGTAAGGTCGCTACGGACTAGAAAGCGGAGATTCCCACAACTAACACCGCCATGCAAAGACGCCGGATACACAGCACGCCTTACCCAACGCTGCGTTCGAGCACGGTGTTGTCGCATTGTCGATACCCCTCCTAATCCCTTCTAAGAGAGCAGCTGATTCCACTACTTCAGACGAATTTGTGCCTTGACCTACACCACCCAGTGAAGAAATACATATCAAAATTGAAATCAAAAAAGGAAGCAAAATTGCTGGCCGCCGTAGGGGAATTAGTCCACACCACCAAGAAACTACCAACAAACGGCAAAATGAGCCCAAGAAAAAATCAACGCAAAAAACAAAAAAAAGATGCTTAAAAGCTGAGACAGAAAAGTATCAAATATGAAAAAGAAGGTGGTTTTGTTCACGCCAGCAGATTGTACTGGGTGATCTTGCCCTTGGGGACAATGAGCTTGACGTGCGTGCCACGCTGCTGCAGCTTGCCGGCGTCGCGCAGCTCCTCGTACTTGGAGCGGAGAATGTCGGTGAAGCCCCAGTACTTGGACATGACGATGATCTGACGTCCGGGAAACTTCATCTTGGCACGGCGGAGAGACTCCAGCGCCTGCGGAATGTAGGCCTCCCTCGTGCGCATCGACAGGAGGATCTGGCCAATGCGAACACGAGCGCAGGTGCCATTCGGCTTACCGTACGAGTGACGCATGCCCGTCTGCAGACGATCGGCACCAGCGCAGGAAAGCATCTTGTTGATACGGAGCACGTGGAACGGGTGGGCACGGATGCGCATGTGGAACACCTCCTTGTTGGCACGCTTCACCATGTACTTGTTGGCCTGAATACGGGCAGCCTCCAGCGCCTCCGAGGAAATCTGCTCCAGTTCGCGGGAAACCACGTGGATGCACACGGGGAACTCGTCCACCGTGGCACGGCGCTTGCCAATGTCAAAGTTGCGGATCTTCGGGTCGGGCACACCACGGCAGAAACGCGACTTTGGGAACGGCTTGTTCTTGCAGAAGCGGTAGCAGCGTGAGGGGCGGCGGGCCATGATGAAACTCTGTGGACAAACCACCTGCAGAGATTGTGTGTGGATAGGCGAAAGAAGAAGAAAAGGGAAGTGGCAGCAGCAGTCAAGAAAAATAATAACAAGAATAATAGTAATAATGAGCAGCATAAAAAAGAACGATGGCCGAAGCAGTGCCAATAATAATAATAATAATAATACAAAGGGGGGTGGAAAGATTCATCAGGGAAAAACAAAAGCCCAAAGGAGAAATAAACTATCAAACAACAAGAAAAGAACAAAAATCACGTGCAGCATACGTCCTCACTTCTACAGCGGCACCTCACCGAGCTGAAGCATAACTCGCTTCACATCTCCGTAGACTTCCTCTCGACTGCGATTAGCGTCTATTGTATGGAGGCGGTTCTCAGCCTTGTACCGCTCTACCACGGGCATGCAAAGCTCCACATTGGTGCGGAAGCGACGCCGAAGAACCTCAATATCATCGTCATCCCGTCCAGAGCCCTCTTTGGCGCGGTGCAGCACCCGTGCCTCCATCGTTTCCTCATGGCAATCAAAGTAGAATATGCCTTTCGCAGGAGCTATTCCTTCTTCAAACATGAGTGCCTGATCCATCTTACGGGGGAATCCGTCAATGATATACCCACGAGGGTTGGGGTGTTCTGCAATGGCGTTTGAGAGCAGTTCCACTGTTATCTCGGAGGGCACAATATTCCCCATACGAATTATCTCCGCAATTTTTTTCTCCACATCGCTCTTATTGCTCTTGCTTGCCTCACGGAGAAGGTCTCCGGCGCTGAAGTGGGTGAACCCAAACTCCTTCACAAGATAATCGCATGCTGTGCCTTTGCCGGAGCCGGGACCGCCAAGGAAAAAAAAGACCTTTGGCTTTGACGACTCGCTCATTTAAAAAAATAATAATAATAATAATAATAAAATTAAAAAATAAAAATCACCAGGCGATTCTCCTCTCGCTCAAAGTGCAGTGAACTCAATCTAAATGCCGAGCATGCAGCAAAGGAAGAAAAAAGGAAAAAAAGGGATTAAATAAATACAAAAAAAAAAAAAAAAAAAAAAAGAAATGGTGTACACCGGAATGCGCAACGCCACTGTGGCAAAACGTAAAGAAATAATTAAGTTGTATTGCCCTCCACCACCACCACCAAAAAAAAAAAAAAAAAAACTCAAACCCACTTCGAAAATTCATGCAAATGAAATACAAGAGCAAATCTCCACCAACGGAAGGCTCCTTATCACCAGTCATAGTTTCCAACGTCTCTGCAAGGAAACAGAAACTCCACAATAATCCGAAAGCTCATATTCCGCTAAACAAAGCGGCTTCACTGTTTTTACGTGCAATCGCTCCAGCTGCGCGCATCGGGCGTCCACGTACATCCACAAGCTCCCCTCGTCCATTTCGACGCACATAGTCACCCGGAAGGCGATATCTCGAATCGATGCGTCTGTCAATGATGGCCTCCTGCGCTGTCGGGCCAATGCCATGGCGGAGAGCATGTTGGCGATCCCACTCACGGCCTTTGGGTGCCACGCGAAACAACTCATCGCTGCTTACTTTCGCTTCGGTTGGAAGCTCCCCCTTCCGCGGCCGCACAAAAATAATGTTGCTGTCTGCGTTCTCTGCATTTCCCAAAAACCGGTTTGTCATCGTGTTGCTACCATCAGTGATAAGTTTATCTCCCTGGTTTGGTCTTAACCAGCGGCAAATTGGAGAATAAAGATGACCGGAGTCAAAAACGCCTCTGACACCCTCTTCGAAGGCACCCAGTGAAATTCTAGAAGCAACCAAGGCCTCTTGTAATCGGCGACCACCTTTTTCTTTTCCCTTCCTTCCTTCAATACCAACCGGAATAAACCAGCTGTAGTTGTAATCCTCCTCTCTGGTATCACACCGCATCAAAGATGGCTCGCGTCCAGTAACAATTTTATAATATTCAAGAAGTCGAGGGCGTGTAAGGGCGTGACGAGGTGGAAGTGGAATGCGCCGCGACGGTGCTGCGGCAGTGCAGGACGTCACAGGCTCATACTCTACAATGGCACCATTTTCATTGGCGGATAAGAGACGCTGACGTCTTCGTGTGGTGGCAGCGTGTCTTCGCAAGGCAACGCGTCGCAGATCCACGGAAGTGGTCATTGGAGCAAAAACAATGCGCCACAATGTCCACCTTCAACTTCCCCTCAGAGCACCACACGCACCGAAAGTGTTAAGAGGATGGAACGTGTTGACAGAAGGAAAGAAACCTCAAGAATTCAAAGGGCAAAGCACACCCATAAAAACAACAACAAGAACGGACAAACAAACAAATAGTGTAAATTCTTTCAAGAGAAATATTTTTGTTTTTGTTTTTGTCTCTTTTTTTTTTTTTCTTTTCTTTTCTTTTCGTTCTTTTTCTTTGGGTAGCACCGAGAAATATACAGTGGGATGCAGGCGGAGAGTAGTTCTCACAGTCCTTCTTTCCCTAAACGAGATGAGGTGAAATACTTTGATAATAGTGATTATGTACAACACAAACATTAGCCCCGTCACGCCGCCCCGCCTCATCTCTTAAAAAATGGGTTTGCGTCGACACGACAGACGGAAGCGGTGGTTTCACAAACGGCTCGCACAGGGCGCAGTGTGGAAGGCCACATGAAACACCGGGCACACCGACAGTGTACAGCATTCCCTCCTGTGGGGTTAAAAAAGACATCTTCGTCTCTTCTCCACCGTCAAATAAAGAGGCATACGTTGGACCTGACGCCTGAGTGGACTTCTCTTGGTTTTTTCCTTCCGAATGCCGAGGAGAGGAACCCATAGATTTACCAGCTGTTTTACTGCTTGTCGCTGCCGCCGTCACCAAAGGAATAGGGGGTGGCGTCACCACAGGGAGAGATCCCGCTGCAGGGCCGCCCCACTCCGCGTTCTTCTTGGCTTTCGCTTCTGTCGTGTCAACAGGCATTGACTCGAGTAACTTTTCTGTCCTGAAAATCGCCCTCTCGTCGCCCTTCCTTTCACCGAAATTAGCTGCGGTTGTGGATGTGGTCGCAGCAGACGTGGGAACAGAAGGCATTTTCACTGCTTGAATTCCCTCGAACATCGTGTTGGTCGGCCCCAAAAAGGCTGCCTTTGGCATTCCGGTCTCCGCCAGCTGCCGGTTCCAGCAACCCCCAAGGGTGTTTCCCTCCTTCGAATTTTCCTCTCTCAATTCATGCGGTGGCATGGGACAAACGCCCATGGAGGCGCCACAGAGAAAACAATAGTTGCTGCCCTCCTCATTCTCGCCAATTTCCCGCTCGTGACGGACTGGACAGTCGGCTGGCAAGTAATCCACCTGGGCCCCGTGGCGCAGTTTGACCCCACATTGCGGACAGTACACAAAACCATTGCCCACCATTTCTTGGTGATCGTCAGCTGAGCAAAAAAAAGAATCCGCAACACGTCCATAATTAATGTGTGGTGACGACGCAAATGAAAGCAGTGGAATATCGGCAGAATTAAACTTCTCTGGGGCTCGAAGAGCAGATGCAATATTTTCCGTCAATAATGAAGGAACAGTCACTTCAGCCGCCCCCAATGACGCCCGTCCTGCATCAGGGGCGGCTCTAACTGATGCAGGACGGGCGTCAGCTGGCAAAACAGAAGTCGACAGCGGAGGCACTACCACTGTTGTGGGCAAAAAACGTGCAAAATCGGCGCTTAAGGAAGGGTAGCTTGTGTTGGCACTGTTACTCTTGTTCTTTGATGGTGATCTAAAATGGGCATCATCGGCCTTCTTTCTTTTTACCCCCAAGAAGGCGCGCTGTGCGGCTGGTGGCAGAACATCCTTTCCATGCAACTTTGGTTTGCGTAGGGTGAAGTTGCGACACGGCCCTAGTGAAGCCGAAGAACGGCATTTCATTCCGCCAGCAGGTACATCCTCCTTCTCCCCATCGGTATTCCCATCATAACTGCCGTCAAAAGGCGTGCTGTGAAGGATGTACGCCTTCGTGCCAAGCGCGGTAGTGTAGGCCTTCAGACGTTCCTCCCTGCCCGGTGGCATATTTGCTCGCCTTCTTTCCTTCCTTTTTGTTTTCCGTCGTCTGACTCGGTCTTCTTTTTCAGCCGGGGACAGAAGGCGGAGATCTCGCTCCCGCCTCACAGCCGTTCCCTTGTCTATAGTAGGCACGTGTGTGAGAGAGCAATCCATCCAAGAAAAAAAAAAAAAAAAAATAAGGAATGCAAAGAGTTCACCTTTCTTCCTTACGTGTGTGTGTGTGTGTGTGTGCAGCTGCCAGCCACTTAATATCAAAGTCCGTCCACAGCCTTCCCAACCCATCTTAGCAGGTGGCGTCACTCTCCCTTTCCCCGTGAAGCACCACTGAACAGTACAGATACAGACATATGGGAATGAGATATCCTATCCATGGGATAATACAAATATAAATATGGAAAACTGCACAAATGTTACCTCCCCCCTCCCTTAAAAAAAAAAAAAAAAGAGGAGGTCCCGTTACTCGTGACTCGTTTATCCTTACTGCCCTTTGCCGCTTCTTTTTTTGCTGCCAGTTCCAGCAGCACCGCCACGCCCCTGCAGAAAGGGCCACACAGATCCAGAGAGAATCTCCACCCTGGTTGTTGTCGTAAAATTATGTTCACTTTCACGAACGAGTCTCGTCGCGGCCCGAAGAGATGTACCATTCACAACAATATGACGAATCAAACATGACGAGCCCCCGCCACAAATACAACTGCTCCACGCAAGCGGAGATGATGCCGGGGTCCGTTTTGCCTTCCTCAGACTCCAATAGTCCATGTCCACGAGGAGCAAGGCCACTGTATCCATATGAGCAATGATGCATTGTTCTAGCACCTTGGACTCACAGACATCCAGCAGAATCATTTCATCAGGCGAACCTTGATAAGGCTCAAGAAGCTCTTGGCGTTGGGCGCTGCGACTACGGACTAGGGGACGCAGTAGCAAATAGCCCATGCCGTGGAATGGCATCTCCAGTATGATATATAATTCATCCACAGGATCGTGAAGCCCGTTCGATGAGAAATGACGGCACCAAACAATGTCACTGACACCCATACCGTGACGGTAGTCTCCTTTATAACTCTGCCAACGGCCTACAGGAATTCGTGTATCGAGCACAACCGCATCTCCATAGGGCACAAGATTCCCATCGCACACAACTTGCCGCTCAAGACGGGCATCATACTCTTCGCCGTAGGTCCATGCCAGCAGTTGCTGCCCTTCCTCTATATCCGTTGTTGCGATAAAAAAAGGAATCATAACAAAATGGCTGTATTCTTCCAAAAATATGCGACGTCCAGTAAGGGGACGGTAACGCCGCTTCTTGGCGCCCACCACCTCAACACCCTTTTTTGCGTGAGAAATTACAGTTGACTTTTCGGGCTTCCGTCCCGGTGCGCCTCTCGGATTCCTCCTTCTTCTAAAGGCATGGTTGCGGCGTCGTTCAAGCTCTGCCGCCAATGAAGAAAACTCACTCGTCACGGAGAGCATCACAGAGCACAGCTCCACATTCCCAAACTTGCTAATATTGTAGCGGTGATTGGCGTATCGCATAAGTCCCTGGCCAAAACACATTCCGTGCCGACCCAGGCCAAGCGCATAGGTCGCGTCATGAATTGGTATTTCATTCAGCATGTCATCATCCTCGTCGTCAATGCTTCCGCTATTGATGTTATCGGTATTCATGTTGTCACGGCAGGTGGTGGTCGTTGTAGAGCTATTGGTGATGTCGGAGGAAGCGGGGGCGACAGTAGCTGCAGGATTATTGGTAGTGGTGATGCCGTTCTTCACTGCGGCAACCGCCCGCTTCTCCTCCAAGACTTTTGTCGCAACGGCAGGCCCCGCATACAAAAAACACGTGGCGTATGGCACGGGATGCGCGGCGAAAAGGCCCTTCTCGCCATTCCCTATTTCTCTTGCCTCGGCAAGCTCGAGTAGCGTGAATGGGAAGCCTGCCACTGGCTCCGTTCCCGCGTGCCCTGATCCCACGCCATGAAAGAAGGCCAAACCCTCTGGCCACATGTCAAACCGTTTCTGTCCTCGTGTCACACTAGATGTCTCCGCATTTCCTTCATTAAAGCGGGACCCAAAGAGTTGCTCGTACCACGTCGCCTCATCCAGACAACGATGGTACGAACGAAGGCAAAGCCGCACCGATTCACCCTCTTCAATGGGGGTGGTAGCAACTACCGCTATGAGCGTCGCTGGCGGAAACTTTTTCCCCTTTATTTCCGGTTCCGCCTTCACCCCAACTGGTTCCTTAGTGTCGACAGCAGTGCAACAGGAGTCAGCCGTTGTAGCCAGCGAAGGTAGACCATAGTGGATAGCAATACAGCGAGCATTTGGCCAATGCCGTGGGTCATCAAAATGAATGTTTCCCTCGTCACACCAACGAAGCCTAGCCTTCTGTACAAGCTTGACAAAGACGGCGTCCCCCTCTACTGCCAGAACGGAGTGCCGAAGAAAACGTCTCATGGCGTGAACCATGTCGCCATTTCTTGTTTGGCTCTTCTTCTGTATTCCAAGACCAATCATACACATCTGAGTCGCCTGGCGAATACATTTAAGCCGTTGTTCTGCCCCATAGCCAAAATACGCTTGGAGGAAATAATCGTAGCGCTGCTGATGAAATGCATTAAGCGACATAGAACACCCAAAATCCTTTGCTGGGGTGTTTTCTGGTGGGGCCACAGTTCCGCAAGTGCCATTATTATTATTATTATTATTCGCGTCACCATCATGCTTGCTATTGTTGTGACCGTTGCTGATTGTCTCACACATGAGTGGTTCATCCGCCGCACCCGCAAGCGGCTTCAGAGAGAAAAATGATTCAACAACATTGGGCTTATCTTCGTTCTTGACAATTGGACATGCCTCAACCCGCATTCCTTCCCCATCCAACCCCTCGCTTGAAACCATTTTGTTGTTTTTTTTAATGCAACACGCATGCAAAAAAAAAAAAAAAAAAGGGTTGAGCAAACGCAAAAACACATTTTTTTGTTTCTTAAAAGGCTCAATGCCGAAGCACACAGGCAGCATTTAATCATCCAAACAAACCAAAAAAAAAAAAAAAAGGAGAAAACAAAAAAACAATTAAGAATTTATATAACAGTGGTAGAACATATTCCGTGAGTTGTTCTATGCAGCAGGCACCACCACGCCGCCTTATGTGATCCAACTTCACCACTCATACATTTTCCATTGCTGCACTAAGTTGGGGCCAAATTAAAATGGGCAATAGTAAAAGAAGAAAAAGACGTGGTAACGGAGTGAGGGGCCCGACCGATTCTTCTTTTACTCCTCATCGAGGAACTTCGATGTTTTGATGCTGACGGTAGCGTCGTTATTCAATGCAAGACGATTAAGGCCACGGCCAGCACGCGCAGCACGATCCAAATTTACATCTGCGCCGTCGGATTGTAGTTGTTCGAGTTCTCTCTTAACACGATATCGTCTTACATCCTCCTTTCCGTACCGCTCCGGGTCAAGCCCCTTCTCCCGGAAGAAAGGCACCAAGTACTGCTCTAGGTATGACTCATAGGACTCCCCATCCTCTCTTTTCCGCAAGCGGTAACTCAGACGACGCAGGCATTCTGCCATTTCGTGACAACGCCGCGCAACATCGCTGGCGCCTTCTTCTAATCTTTGCCGCTTCTCCACCGGTGCGCCATCGGCGTCATCATTTTCGCCACCCGTTTCATCCGTCTCTTCGCTTTCGGATTCCTCCTCCTCCTCTTCTTCTTCTTCTTCTTCTTCTTCTTCCCCGTCTTCTTCCTCGTCACCCTCGCTACTGTCGTCATCCTCATCCTCATCGTCTTCGTCGCCATCATCATTGTCATTGTCTTGACCGTTGCCATTAGCGTCAGACTCCTTCTTATCGCCACTCCTTTTTCTGTAGAGTGAGTCAATGAGGCTGGCAACAAATTCCGCGCGATTTGTGAGGTACTCCGCCGGGAAGGTAGACAAGTACTTCGCTTTCAGGAGCTGCATCACAACTTCCGCCGTCAGCCGCTTCTCCTTTGGCACGCGCTCAAACATCGTCTTGACAAGGTCTGTTAGTTTGGCATCCTTCTCATCGGTGGTGGATGCAGCCATGTCACTTCACTTCTCTTGTTTGTTTGTTTGTTTGCCTTTTCACCCACCCGCCTGTCCTCTATCTTGTTGTTTACGTGTGCCTCGCGGCGCGGATCCTCACGGTATGACTGACCCTCCCAAAAAAAAAAAAAAAAAAAACTCAAATAGAGGAAATAGGCGCATGTTCAAATCAACACATGCCGATAAACAGAAAAAAAAAAAAAAATCCTTTTAAAAGCAAGTAAGGAGAATGAGGTGACAGTGAGGAGCAGAAAACCAAAAAAAAAAAAAAAAAAACATCCACAAACAGCAGAAAATCAACAAACAACTTGTTAGTTTCTCTTTTCACTCTTGCATCAGTCTTCCCCGTTTTCTATTAAAAGTGGCAAAAATCACAACGGCAAAAAAAAAAAAAAAACCGCATAAGCAGGAAGGGAAAAAAATAAATAAATAAAATAAATAAATAGAGAGTAGGGTAGTGCGCGCATGACATATACACATACATACATATATATATATGCATATGTCAACTTACCGTGAGAATGGCAGCGGTGACGGTTATTCGCGCTCGGTTTTACCCTTCTCTTCGCTTCCCCTCCTTTTCTTTTAAATCGCCGTCCTCCCGGTTCTTCCCTTCCATATTTACCCCTCCCGCGTCACCGAGATTCAGCGTTTCTTTCCGTTTTTTTTTTTTTCCTTTTTTCATTCTTGGCGTCTTTTTCTCGTAGTTAAGTCCTACTTTGGGGGGCCAGAGCTCTTGGGATAAGACTCCAGAAAAAGCAGATCAGGGACATCTGTTTCGGACGAATGAGCAAGGGAGGAATGAAATGTCCGCGAATGAGCCTCCGTCCGCGACCGCGGCGAGTCGTTACCCCCGTTAAGTTCAAAAGGCAATAATGGTGACGCCAGCGACGTTTTTTGTGTGTTACCGCCATTACTCTCTCCCTGAAGTCCACGCAGACGTCGTAAGAGCGTGTCGACAAGAAGATCCTTTCGCGTGATGATGCCCACGACAGCGTCACCGTCCACAACAACCATGTGTCGCAGCCCCATCATGCGGAAGGTGTGATACGCCATCTGCAGGTTGAAAAACGGTGGGATCACCCATGGGCTGCGGTTAACAATGAGCGAAAAGTCAAGAACTGGCGGCAGGCGTCGCACATCCACAAAAAACGGATTGGGGGTATCGCCACTGCTGTTATGGCTGTTATTCTCGTTGGCGTGGATTTGATTGTCCTCGGCAATTCCATCCTTGCTGTTATTCTTCGTCCACATCTCCGACCACCTAGCGCCCCCAAAGACAAAGAAGAGGGACGTCTTGTGAGTCAGCCACTCGGTCCACGTCATCTTGTTGACAGCGAGCACACTGGGCGCAAGCTCAGCATTAGAGCCATGACTGCACACACCGGAATGATCACTCGTCTGGTTGGGAATCTGCAGTGCAGGGAGTGTCAGATAAATCTGAACATCTTCACGTGTGACAAGACCGACAAACTTGTGTCGCACACGTCTCTCCTCTTCTTCCCTGAATTTCGCCCTTTTGCCACGCGTTTCAGCCTCCCTAAAACTATCCTCGTCTGTTTTTTCCTCTCGCACTTCCTCTACCACTGGAAAGGCATGATGCGTCGTGTTTCGCAGTGCATTCAATACGACAGGTGTCTTTTCCCGCAGTCGAAGCGTCAAAACATTCGATGCCATCACGTCTGCAGCCGTCAGCTGCTCAAACCCCGGACGCAGCAGGTGCGCCTGAAGATACGGCACGGAGTCCAGGCGCAGCATATATTGGTAAAGGGGTTCACTAATAAGGTCGGCCACAGTCTTGGACATAATGATAGCGACCATGACAGGAAGCAGATAGTGCAACTCAGAAGAAAGTTCCACCATAATAACGCAAATAGACATTGTCATGCGGGATGTACCAGAGAAAAAGGCGCCGGCGCCAATCAGCGCAAAGACACCAGGATCCAACCAGGCCTGGGAAGCCCTATAACTGCGCTCAGATTCGTTCCCACTTACGGCCATAAACCATATTAACTGCCCATACAGCCTCCCAAAGGCGGCGCCAATGACAAGGCTCGGCACTACCAATCCACCAGACACTGCCATCCCGCTCGACAAACATGCAAATACGGTGTATATTATGAGAAAAAGCAGAATATATGCAGCAGGAAATTCCCCTATTGTTTGTCGTGAAAGAAGATGCCGAATAATGTCCTTTCCGTTCCCCATTGTGAGTGTTGCGAGTGGAGCGTACTCGTCGGCCTTTGCGCATGTCGCCGTAAAAAGCCGCGTTCGGTTTTCCGTACCCCAGAAAAACGTCCCGTTCTTACTATTCATTTCGTACATCGGGCGACAGTCCGGCACGAGTGCCAACATATAAGAGAGTGTGCCGTACAACAGTACAATGATAAGGGGCTCGAGAAACCGACAGAGCACAAAAGGACGTAGACGTCGGCGTCGGTACTTTAAAAGCATGAGATTTACTTTTGTGAAGACGGCGGCAAACGCCCCACAAAAAATACCAAGAAAAAACGACGGCACAATCGATAACAAGTTGAGCGGGATCGTCAAATTCACCTCAAAGAGAACGGAAACAGCATTTGAGACCCACCCAAGCAAACGCTGGTCCTCCAGTACGGAGCGAATCATACTAATCGTCGTGAAGCAAATCATTGTGGCAAGAAAAATCTGCCCACTTGCACTGTGATCCCAAAAGCTCGAAACCTCCTCCATTACAAAAAGCAAACCACCAATCGGCGCCCCAAATGCGGCGCTCACACCGCATGCGGCTCCTGCAGTGATAAAATCTCTTCGGTCCTTGTTGTTACGGAACGCCTGAAAAAGCTTTGTTTGAAACCCTAATGTGCGGCTACGGCCCTGCGTCACCCCCGCCCCCGTGATGGCGCCAAGGTGAATCAATGGCGCCTCAAGTCCTACCGGTAGCCCTCCAGCCACCGCACACATACAAGATATGCTCTTCGCAACAAAAGTACGAAAATTCATTGCATGGGGCACATGCACGCCGTTCAGGTAGGCTATAACATCCGGTATGCCACCGCCCGCCGCAGCTGGTTCAAAAAACACAACAACGGCTGTTGCCACCACGACAAGCGCCATCGATACAGCAATGGAGAAAACGTAGCCAATAATGCGACCAATCACGGAGTGCTCTGTGATAAGTTTGTAAAGCTGAGCAGCACGGTAATCATCTACAATTTCCACAGTATACGAGATGATCGTTGCCAATATACCAACAGAAATGGCAATAAGAACGTGAAGGATCCATCGCAGTGCCTCATTGCGCTCGTCGGCATCGTACTTCTTGACCATACTCAGTACATTTACACTAGTCCCATCAATGTTGTGGTGTGATACATCGCTATTATCCACCACCAGCTCCTCCACGGCCGGTGAAACCGTATTATTCATCGTTGTATTTGTGGTTGTGGTAGATGTTCCATCCATTGCAAAAGCGGCGCTTGTGCGCATGGCATAATGTTTACGGAGATGCTTCATGTACATGGATGGGTATGGTTTGTAGTAGTCAAAGGATTCAAAACTTGCTTGTTTTTCCATCTCCTCCGTAGTCATATCCTCTGAATTCTGCGTAAATGGATTTGCGATACGCCAAAACTCGTCCAGTAACTTGCGTAGCATTATGTTAAATGACGTGTGGAGCTCCAATGTATGTAGCTATTTATAGGTCGGGAAATTAAGCAATATTTGACGTTTTTGCTTGTATTGCAAGAGAGAGAGAGAGAGAGAGAGGAAGAGAGAAAAGTGGTAAATCAAGAATACATGCATGCAGAAATATCCGTACCCATCTCCAATGCAATGTGACGCCGGCAATCACTCATCAATCAGGCAAAGAAACAGGCAAAAGTCCCGCGCTCTTCTTAATCGTCGTTCCACCAAAAGTTGGGCAACAAAAAACAATTGTCACTGTCATTCTCCTCAGAATCATCGCCGGCTCTTGCGGCCCACGTACTTTTCCACCGCCCCCTTTCCGCCTTTTCGTTCAAGCCTTTCAAACGTGTCGGCGAGTATCTCACGCTTGAGATGCGCCCGCTTTGGGATGAATGGCCGCTGTTTCTTCCCCTCCTTCACTGCTAACGCCTCTCGTTTAATGATTTCTTTTCGCAGGGTGTCGCGACGTGATTGCACATGGCGGCCTTTAGTTCGCGACACGTGCAACTGCGACTCGCGCTGCAGCTGCTGAAGTTCTCTCTGTACTTCCTGCAGCGGCAAAAGTTTCATCGCGGACAACTCATCGAGGTGGTCCTCCCCGAACACCTCCCGCTCAGTTTCTGAAAGATCGTACTCCTCCAAGTCCGCACCGCTTGCCTCAAGCTCGCCGCGCCGGGCAATGCACTTCAGGCGGCGTATGCGATTTCTGCGATGTGTCTCTTCCTCCTCCTGCTGCTCTCGCAGGAACTTGTAATGGACTTCAAACTGCTTCTGGTCAACGGTGCCGTAGAGGTCGCTGAAACGCGGGTCAACCGCTCTCTGGCGACGGACCGCTGGAAGGGCGCTGCGATGTTTCGGTCGCACCCGTGCGCTACGCTCCGGTGGGGGGCCGTCGGATGTGTCGTCATCCATCCTCCGGTGTTGTTCCTGTGGCCGCTGCTGCCCGCACGGGAGACAAAAAACAAAAGAGAGAAAGAGAGGGAGAGCAAAAAAGCGGCGCCCTTAAATTTAATTTGCGGCCTTTTAAAAGTCTCCTGCCCCAGCTTAAAAAAAAAAAAAAAAAAATGAAAAAAAAAGGGGAGGTGAAGGTGTTGGACGCGGCAAAAACACCCTTCTCCCCTCGAGGGCAACAGGCAAGTCGCACAAGAGACAAAAGCCTCACAACAGTATTGACATCCCAGCAATATATCACAGAAAAATATATGTGGTAAAGTAAACATCCACACACATCCACACACACACCACGTCGGGCGCTATTTTCAAAGAACACCGCCCCATTCTAATAAATTCGCGGGGTCGCCGCCCAATAATAATAAAAAATAAAAATAAAAAAATCAACCAACAACAAAGAGTAAAGCCACACTCCAAACATAAGTGCACATTTGGCTGCGCTCAAAGAAACAGCCGTCTCTCGGCAGTAGGAGTGGCAAGCATCTGCAAACGGCAACACATCTGTACCCGAAACATGAGAATCTGATTTCATGTAATTCCTCCAGCACACCAGCAAATACTGATACCATTGAGGATACCGGATGTGGAGGAAGCAGCTGAGGTAATACACCCGCCCCACCCACACACACATCTTGTACCCCGTCCAAAAAAAGGTAAAAAATAGGAGATTACTACTTCTACTAGTAGCGCAAGAAGAAATCGGAAGTAAAAAATAATAATAATTTGCACTTGGGTTTCCCCACCCATTCCCTTCCTAAGCAACCATTTTTCATCGCTTCGTAATTCCCACATATTTACTTATTTCTGTTTGGACAAGTAATCATTGCCCGGCTGTCATAGACGGCAAGATCTACCCTTCTAAAGTGCGTTAGGGCCTTCGTTAATGCCCGGTGGCTTATAGCCCGAATTGGCAGCAGAAGAGGATGCCACAGCAGCGTTGCTAATGTTATCTTTGGCAGCTGGTCTGGGTACTGGGAAAAAAATAACCTGATCCATACCCCCCATAGCCTCCCGTCGCGCAGCTTCCTCCTCGCGAACCATCTCTGGGTCCACGTACTTTGGCAAATCAACAAAAAGATTCACAAAAAGCATGATGACACCAAGAGCAACCGCCACGCCTGCCGCCACATAGTTCAGGATACCGCCTCCAAACGCGAGGGTTCCCAAAAATATGTAAAAAAAAGACCGGCCAGTGTACGTGGTCAGAAAGTACAGGTACTTTATCCAATTATATATGAGTCCTCGCAGGCAATTTATTTGGCGAAGCTCCGCAGTAAGGGTGAAGAAGCACAATACTACAAGATATATATTCAAAAAAATTGCTGAAATGCCAACGGTAAGTGTCATAAGACTAATTATGGAACTAGCAATCACCAGCCCCATTGAAATGCACGATAGCGTCAAAAAAACACGTGGCCAATTCCTGCCCGCTGCGGTTGGACCCTGCTCTGGTGCAGAAATCTGCTGTTGGTAGTGAGAATCATGTGTGGCAAAGTTCAGAGTACCTTTTTTCAGATCAAACTTAGCAGCCATTGTAAACTATTTATGCGTATATATCTATTTATAATGCCTCCCTTGGCAAATTTTTTTCTTGAATTGACCTCGATCAACTTCTCCAGCCACAGACTCACAGACTTCCAAGCGGAAAAAAAAAAAAATAATTTTTGTAACAAACATATATATATATATAAGAATAATCTTCCGGGAGCTGGCCGGATCCTGAAATTATCTATGGAAACCAAACAAGTTAGGAAAAAAGGTTCTTTAGTTAATTGCTTCAATGTTTTATTTTCATTCAATATATAGAATTCTGTGGACCATTAGCATGGTCCTTTGTCCTCAGTTAGGATTTGAAATATTATTACTTACGAAGTGGCAGACTTCGGGGTCCTCCAACCACAAGACCCCGCCGCTCCCCTTCGCAAGTTCCACCCCTTTGCCGAGTCCTGAAGTGTAAAAACACTACCGCGTGATATGCCGTCTGCGGGGTTTTGTGCGGAGCGCATGTAGGCAAAAGTTGCCTGCACTCCGCGAGAGTCCAAAAACTCATATATCCGTTGCAGCTCCCATGTCATGGCGTGCGATTTTGAGCTGCCTTTATTCGCCGCTCCTTGGAGCGAAGTGTTGTTCACCCAAACGTCCATGGGGGATGGCAAAATGGCGGAAAAGGCCGATAAGGCTAAGCGTACCGCTCGTGCCTCGGCCTGCATGATAAGAAAAGGTTTCCTCTCCCATTTCCCTCCGGCAATTTTAACGTCGCCGGAGTCTGGAATAAAAACGGCTCCCCATCCATGGAGCGATGCATCCGTGATGATGGCGGCCGATGCCTTCTCCGTGGGCTTGATGATTCGCTTACGGTTTTTCCCGATGATGTGTCGCAATCTCTCGCCCAAACCAACCGCTGATGGCGGTAGGTTCGCCGGGGATGTCTCCAGCACAATTCCCCAGTTAAGTGCGGATAATCGTCGTCGCACTGCCTTGATGAAAAAGTAGTGGCCACATAAACACGTGCCCAAAATGGCCGCCGCGTACAAAAAGCGTGAAGCCGTAGCCTCCATTTCCGCGATGGATAAAGAATTGAGCGACGGCATGGCGCGTACAGAGCGGACAAACTTCTCACTCAGGGACACCGCACGGTGAATGTGATCAAACTGCACCCCAAGAAAGGTGTACTGCGTAGCGCCCGATTCGCGGTCCTCCCCATCGTGGCGTGACAACTGTCCGCATTACGAAGCACTTGGGCTTCCCACAATGTCGCACCGCTTTTCGACCCTGCAATGCGTATATTACCGATCCATACGTCGACACGCGCCGATGGAGGTGCGGCCCAGAGAGAGTGAACCACCGTCGTCACCACCGCAATCGCCGAAGTAATAATCTGGAGAATTTCTGGGACGGCCTTGCATCCCATTGGGAGCCGTGTGAGCTCCACCAGCGTGCCGTCCTCCACGTGGCATCGAAAGAAATGCCGAGTCTCCCGCGGTAAAGAGACTTGAAAAAGGGATGCCTTTAAATCCAAACAGGAAACGGCCTCAGCCATCACAGGTGGCAAATAATGGGAAATGTGTAAAAGAGGAACATTCGCCTCATAAGGGTCGTCTCTGTTCTTGTCGCGTGGCCACGCGGTCAATCGTCGTCGTGAACCGGCGGTTTTCTCCACCACAACTGAGAAAGGTATTATCCATCCGCCTGTTATTGTGGACGAACCGTCCTCGACAATTCCTGCTTTTCGTAACAAATGCGCATCAGCGGTTGGAATTCTCCGTGAGCCTTCGCGCGCTTTACCGGAGGAAGACGGAGGGAAAGGGGACCGCCCGACGAGTCCCCAAACTTGCATGAGCCCCTCCAGGGTGGCCGGGTTCAACCGACTTTTAATCCACTCTAGGTTCAATACGGGCATGTTGCCTTGCTGTAGCGGGGTAGCGTGTTCATCTTGTGGGGTGGCCGGACGCGTCCTTGTCGCGCGTCTCGTTATTGTAGCGGCATGATTGTGATAAAAATCATGGAAAAAACGCTCCTCCGCTCTCAACCAGGGTTCCTGCCCTTCCGCAGCTTCTCCCTTCACATCAATGCGACCAGCGACGACACCTGGGTCAGCATTGTGGTGTACCTCCACAAATATCAAACAGTGTTCTGGGGAAGGTCGAACTGATTGACGTGCTTCGCCAACTGCGAGATCACGTGTGGATCCAAATTGTATGTCTACACGATTGGAGCAGCGTGCCGCAACGCACCGCGTTCTATGGAATGCGCCGTGGCATTCCAAGGAACCAGGGCTCGCTCCACGTGGGCGTTCGTAAGATTCGTGAGCTTTTCGTTTTCTTGAAGTGTCCTGCATAGCTTTATAGTGTCGAACGCATCCCGCCCTCGTATCCTCACGAACCGCGAGGCACGGTGGGGATCCGCCCTCGCCGTCTTCGGCGCGACGAACCTATCCAAAATTAAGGTTCCGTCCGCCTCCAGTGTGAAATTTTTGGCTGTCAAGGCCGCAACCTCGGACCAACGACTCGCCGTTATCCACGCGAGTCGTAAGACAACACGTTCCTTCCAATCGGTCCGGCTGCGGATTACTTGATTCATCTCTTCCTCTGTCAAGGGGCGCGCTTGCTTCGTCTCCGATCGCGCCGCAATTTTTGTAACCCCAGAATCACCATGTCCAGCGGGGTTCGATCCATTTCCAACATGGACCGCAGCATCCTGGCGTACTGCAGTCGGGTCGATGGCGCCACATCGATTGCCATCAAAAAGGCCGCACAGCTCTCCTCGTTCATCGGCTGTTCGTGCGTGCGGCAAAAGGTTGTGAATTGCCCTGCTAGGGATATTCTCTGCTCCCACGTTGACGGCGCCCACATCTCTCGCGCCACCTCGTTCGCTCCCCTCATATAGCTGGCCCAAAGCGGGGATGTCGGTAATTCGTCGTACCACAGTCGGGCGTCGTTGGCAGATAAGCCCCATCGCCCTTCCCGACGATTGCGTCGGGCAATTTGAAAGATCGGGTGGAGCATCGGCGGCGCGGTGCGCTGCCTGTGAGGATTGATGGGAGGTGGTGGGGCTGCCGTCGCCAGCATTCATGAGCGGCGTGCGGCATCCCCTCGGCCGTTTTTTGATGGACGCCTGTATTGTGAGTAATTCCCTCTCGGGCGCACATTGCATGTAGATGCCTCGTGTCCAAAGATATGACAACGTTGGCATCGCACAGTGCGTTGGGTTTCTCGCCGATCGACGAAAAGCTGGGCAGCCCTGGCATAAGCGTCCGTCTGGTGAACAGCGGTGTAAAGACGGGCGCGCAGTTTGGAAAGCCGGATGCCGGGATCGGATGCAATCGTGAGCTGCATCCGGAATGTATTCAGTAGGGACCTCCCCAAATTCATGATTCGATCGGGGGGATCCTGCAGGACTTCCAGCGCGCCGATCCACTCGACCAAATTGTCAAAGGCAAGTTTAACCTGCTCGTCGTCCTGTTGCCAGCATTGGTATGCGCGCCGGAGGTCGATAATGGCTCCGGAGGCGCCCTCATTCCATACGCGCGAGGGCCACGTAGTGACGTCGAATACGCAGAAACTGCGGTCCTCTTCCATAGGCAATCGGGCGTCCAGGGGAGAAGTGCGGGAGGGCAACGGCGTGGAGGGGTGGAAATGTGTTCTCGCAGCATTACCGTGAGGGGGTCTGTAAGCCGCCGAACTGCGTCGGACGGCGCTGCTAGGCACGCCTCCAGCCATCAAGTTATTCGCTTGATGCGGTAGTGTAGTTACGCCATCGTTGGCAACGTGTCGAGTAGCGGGGGACTCGTCCCGCCCCGCCGTCTCCGCATCCCGCGCAGTTTGTAGTGCCTTAAGGCGTGCCTCCCGTTCCTGGAGTTGAGCATTGAGGACTCCCAAGTTGAATTCGCGCTCCCGTAATTGGGCGCGATCGGCCTCCAACTGCTGTCGTAGTTCTAGGACCTGGTTTCCGGCCCCGGCGATATTGGATTCCCTTACCGATAGGTTAATTTGCGCCTCCTCAACCTGCGAGTTAAGCTGAGCATTCCAATTCCGCACGTCCGCGACGGCGTTCGCGTAATCGATATTCAGGCGCTCCCTTTCAGCAGTGATGAGCCCTTGTTGGTGCCCCAACTCCCGGGCTGCCCCCATAGCTGGCAGGAGCACTTGTGTCTCAAAGTTAGGGATCTGAGGGGCGCGGAGATTCGCAATATGTCCAATAAGAGTAGAATCCTGCCATGCTTTAGAGATAGGTCCATGGAACAAGCATAAGCCTGTCGCTGATGGGGCCACGGTCACCGTCCCGTCCGACAGCTGGTTACCATTAATGAACGTCATCTGCACCTGGATCTCGCCACATTGGCACACCATGTCCCAGAGACGGGCGCCAATATCACACCACTCGGAGGGTGTGTAGGGGACCAAAGCCATTTCCTTAAACTTACCTGGCTGTGTCTGTAAAAAACAAAAACAAATATTATCCGGCCTCTATCGGCTCCCCGCACCTACAAAGTCGCGTTCTTCCCAAAGGATTCATACGGTAGAAAGTATCATAAAGAATGCATTCATTTATCAGGATATACACATACATTAATTAAGTTAGCCAGCTCTCCCGCGATCATTCTTTTCACAAGCTCCTAGGAGAAGGAGGGAAAGGAAGCAATCATAATAATCGGATGGCAAAGGCGATGAGTGGTGTCAAAGACTTATACTGTATATCATTTCCTGCCCACCGCGGGGCATGCTTCCGTTGTTTCAGCTAGCACCACGGAAGATTGCATTCATCTCAGCAAGGTGGGATTCGGTCACGTGCGGCAACACATTGTAAAGGGCGAGAAGGTTTGACTTTGAGATTGTGAGTAAAAAGCTGCGTTGCGTGGCGCTCAAACCGTGCGCCGCCCTGCGCAAAGAAGACGGTGTTGCCCGGTCCAACACCTCGGCATATCGGTTGTCCTCAAGCAGCACACGCATCGCGCGGTGCAGGTCCTCCAATGACATTTTTTGCTTCAACTGCTCCACATCGCTTGGTGTCACACGCGCAATGTCATTTGCCGTGACGCGGTGAAGCCGATCTTCCAGAGAAAGTGACGAGCCGTTTGCCTCGGGCATCGTCGATGACGACAAAGACGACGACGCAGACCCCCACAACCACGCTCGCATTACTTCTTACCACTGTATCGCTCTTGTTGTTGCACGAGTGGAAAAAGAAAAAAGAAAAATAATAAAAGAATAAATAAAAGGGTCCCAACAAAATCCAACGGAGGAAGCGTTCAAATTTCCCCACTTCTCCATGGGTACAAAGAAAGACACAGATAATTTCGGCAATCCAACCGCACAGGCAAAGTATACACAATGTCCTTTTTTCTCAGACTTTTTTTTTTTTGTGTGTGTGTGTGGTTGTGCATGCGTATTCACAGAGCATTATGCCATTTGCTTCAGGCGTCTTCATCGTCAGTGTCTTCCATGTACTCATCGGCATACCAACTGTCCTCCGTTTCCCAGTCCTCTCCCTCCTCCTCCTCCTCTTCTTCTTCCATTTCAATTTGCCAGGAGAGTTCCTCCTCCATGCGCAGCTGATGGTTGAGGCTGGCGACAGGGTCAGGGATCCCAGCGGTGTCTAACGCCGCCCGCAGTGCCATTTCTCTTGTGCTGTTCCAGGGAAGAAACATTCGAAAGAACAAAGAAAGGGGGTTGTGATCCTCCCCAATCTGCCGCACTCTACCTTCCTCTTCAAACATCGCATTGTACCGCGAAAGCCGTTCGCTCGGCGAAATTGCCGGTGGTGACAGGGGCCCATACAGAGATTCAAAACGCAGCAGGGTAAGTTGTTCCAGTGGTGTCAGTTCACGCCTCGTCGCACGCCGTACCTCATCGCGCAAGTCTTCTTCTGTGATCTCGTTCGGGTCCAGCAAATGTGCTGGGATTGTAGTCAGAGTCTGACACAATATGTCTTCTTCCGTGAGTGATGCGTACCTCCATGGAGTGGGAAGATGCGGGCTGTCCGCTGTAACGACAGCAGCAGAAGCACTCAAATTAGCACCAATATCAGCACGGTGGGATTTTAACCAAAGCCCGTCATCCTCCGTTATCACACGTCGTAAAAAGGCGCATGGATCTGCTGCCTTCCAAATCTCGGCATTCCTAGCAACCCACATACTCGCCACATGTAAACTGTTCTCTTCCGTGTTCAACTCGTGCGCCTTCACAATATCCTGCCATGACACTGGAACCGATGACACAACAGACTGGCCTCCAATTTTTTCAACTATTAGTACGGCGGCGGAAGGGAAACGGCCAATAGCGTGCGCAAGCATCACCGAAGCCGGTGGTGTATTGCGAAAGGCATGTAGTTGCGTGGGTGTCAGTTCACGCAGCACTTTTGAAGGTTTGCCCTTATTTGACACGCCAGAAATCGCAGACGTTGTCTCTTCGCGTTCCAAAAAGTATTTAGCAAGGGCGGCGCTAAAAAAAAAACCAGGAAGAGTTGACAATGCCAACGCCAATTTGCGGTTGGACCATGCATCGTTCGTATCATCCACCTTGCCTTCAGCATGGCGCTCAAGTTCACGTGCTACGATGAAAGACACCTGCACCAACCATGCCCACTGCTTCGCCCGCAGTGCCAGATAGTCAAGTTGCAGTAACATCCCAAGCGGATCTGTATCATCAAGAGAATAAATCAGCTTCGCAATCTCCCATGCAGTCCTTGTGGCCGCCTTCCTAAGTGCTTGATGCACTCCACAGCGCAAAACCTGAAACAATTGCCTATTAGAAGTGACACCAAAAGGCAGACTACGTCGACGCACCGTCTGACGAACAGGAAATCGCGATAGTAATACGCCCACATGATACAGTGCAATGTCAATCGCCTCCTGTGCGCGCGGAATATTACCCATCGTCTCGAACAAATTGCTTGCGATAATAAGCGTGGGGATGTGGTACGGTGCAGCAGCCAAACATGTCATAATGCCTTCTACGCCGGCATGCATTGACCCGCAAACCGCCAGTGCCGCCTCCGCACGACGTGTCTCGGCGGAAGAATCATCGAGGTAGTATAAAAGAGGTCCACCATCATTGGTGTTACCGTCATTTACTTTGGTCTCATTATTTCTGGCAGATTGTGTCCCCTTTGCCACCAGGGTCACCCCGAGACCGTCGTACTGTGGCCAGCAGTATCGATTGGGTGTTGCCAGCAGACTGTGGAAAAAACGAGGTACGAATTGTGCATGTTCTGCAAAAAGAAGTGATGTTGGTCTGCTTTCTGCTCGCCGCTGTGGCACCCTGCCGTCGCCAATGTCCTCTACCGCTCTTGCGCCAAAGCGGCGAATACGTTCTTCCCGCGTATCAAGTTTTTTAGCATCGCAAACAGAGAGAAGCTCAAGAAGATCCACCTCCTCACTCCTGCCACTTCCCGTGCCAAACCGACCACCTTCAGCAAATGCGTCTTCCTCTCGTTGTCGCAGTGCCTCCTCCAGTAGCAATTCATCCTCACGCTCTTCTTTGCGACGTTTGGCCCTCGCATTTTTATTCCGCTGCTTTTTCTTGCGGCGCTCATCGGCCAACTCCTCCTTTTCCTGCACGCCAACAACTACAGCCCCAACCTCTACCTCCACCGCCCTATTGGCCCTTTTTGCAGCGCCGGGCCTCCCCTCCACCGCAAATGCAACGCGTTCACTTCCATTGCCCGTCCTTTCCTGACGATCCTGTTTGTCAACGGGGCTTGCGGTCAACGCCTTTTCCTCCATTTGGGGGTGCTGCTGCTTGTGAGCGTCATTTTCATCTTGGACCTTCTGGCTTGTCAACTTCTGATGCCTCCCCGACCTCTTTGCGCCTTTGGGCATCCTCATTTTTGAGGGGCACTCCGTCTCAGCATCCTCGTCAGCGCCTGTGGAGGCCCTCACGAGGTTCTGCAGTCGTCGTAGCTGACGGGCAGACATAACGGCGTGAAGCGTCTTTGAGTTTGTGTTCTCCTCAATTTCCGTTTCTTTTTTTTTTTTGTGTGTGTGTGTTGTTGTTGTTGTTGTTGTTGTTGTTTTCTTTTCCTTTTCGTTTGCTTTTTCGCGCGGCGGATCTTATCCCCTCCAGCCTCGAGAAAACAAAACCACAACAAGAAATAGCAAACAAAAAGAAAAAAACCGACATAAAAAAAAAAAAAAGATGTCATCGTTCAACTGCTCCCCCCACTCCCCGTCTCCCTCAAATGCACACATGTACACACACGCACAGAACAGACTCGTGGCATGTAGAAATGATTAGTTGCATTGGTAGTATTTGTGGTTTGAAAGGGGCACCAAGAGTACACTGCTCTCCGTCCTCGTGGACACACTACATCTACTTCAATACGGTGGATTGCATCTAAACCTCTATAAAATAAGACGTAAAACAGCACAAAAGAAGAAACCACACAAACACACAAACAAAAAGTATACATATATATACTTTTCAAAGTAAGGACAACCATGAGAAAACAGTTTAACCATCAACGCACTGAAGTTGCTCGAAGCATTGGCGGTCTGACCGGTGAAGAACTGCCATCCAAGACACCCCGAGCCGAGCGAGACCTCGACACACCACCGGCTGAAGTCAGTGAAGAGGAAGAAGCACCACGACAAGGCAAACTGCGCTCGTTCCCTACAGTTCTTTTCATTGCATCGGGACCCACCGCAAACATGGAGTGACTTCGGGGGAAGAAACCGATAGCAAGCACATCTTTCCCCACCTTTTTCGGCGATGGTGAATTCTGCGCTGGGGAGCGCCGACAAGGAGTCCCGAGCATATGACACGGCAGATTTTTCTTGTTTTGTTGTTGCAGTTGTTGCTGCTGCCTTTGAAAACTGCTGCGCAACAATGGCGCCGTTCGCCGAGACGGTGGCTGCGCTAACGGCACGGGCTCCCCGTTTTCCTCAATGCACGGTTGCCGTCGAGCGGCAGAGCGCTGCGCCGCCTCCCACGCAACCTTTTCCGCTGCCCGAAAACTCTCCAGCGTCTCACACCTCTCAGCATGCGGTCCTGGGGGAATGGCCTCCCTCAGCCTCGCAAGTTCCAAGGCGGCCCGCTGCGCCAGAGAGACGACACGCCCGCGAAGATCAAAGATTGAAATCTCTCCTCGATTCTCAGTCACGCCATCCTCTGATTGAATTATAAGACTCGCATCAAATAGCCGTTGTTGCACCCCGCGCGGGCTGTTACCATCCGCGCATGTCTCATTTGACCCCTCACTGCCGGCTTGGTGAATGCTCACCAGAGTACGCAGCGTGGTTGCCTCTGCCCGCTTCTGCAACTCCACGTCACTGAGGGCGTCAGCAAGCGCACGCTGCCGTTTAGCCAGTTCCTCACGCAGTTCTTCGTTCTGTGCAGTAAGTTTCTTTACGGATAGCTCGGCCTCCGCACTCTCTTTGGCATGCAGGGCGGCTGTGGATTCTTGCAGTGTACGCAACTCCCCCATTTCCTTCTTTAGTTTATTTAACTCCTCCTGTTGCTGTTGTTGTTGTTGTTGTTGCCGCACCGATGCTGTCGTGCTCTTGTTGCGCTGTTCCACACGGGACGTCTGGAGCTGCAAAAGCATGGATTTCATCTTGTTTGAAAGAACCTCATTTTCATCACGCAGAGACTTGCACTCTTCCTCCGTTTTCTTCAGTTTCTCCGTGCAGCGAGCCAGCCTTGCCAGCACCTTCGCCTTCGCCTCCATCGCCTCCTCTTGCAAACGTTGGCTTTTCTCAAGAAGACGCACGCGCTCTCGTACCTCTTCCGCCTCCTCACGTACCAACTCGTATCGCTCACGCAACTCCACACAGTCCCGCTGGCTTGCATCCAGCTGGATACGCAAGATACCGCGCTCGCGCTGTAGCTCCTCCATGCGATCCGTTGACCTCTTCTGCTGCACCCTCACCTCCTGCTCGGCAGCCTGTAGCTCTACAAGCGCAGCCTCTAACCGCTTCACCTCGCTCTTCCGCTGGCAACATTCTTCACCCAGTAACCGCTCCCGTTGCTTGCTCTCTTCTAGGCTCCTTTGGCACGCGGCAAGCGCATCCTGGCAGTGTTTCAACTCTGATTTGCTTTGTTCGGCCTGTCGTGCTTCCATGTGCTGGAGGCGGCGCTGCATCTCCTTCCGGTGCTGAAGGTAGAGACGCCGCAGTGTCTCCAATAGGCGTTCACATAGTCGATGACACCGCTGCAATCGACCACTCTCGTCCACTTCATCACCGTTATTGTTAGAAAATTTTTTAGACGCTGTTGGATGCGTATTGCCTCGCAATCGCTGAGCATTTTGCCTTTGATGCTGTGTAAGGACCTTATTCCCCCCCAAGCGGAAACGCACTTGCCGCAGATCGTCCCGAAGCTCTTTGCATGTGATAAGTTCAAAAAAACTGCCATTTGCATCTTCCACACACCCCTCCTCGTCGTCATCCTTCTGACCATAACACAAAGCATCATTCTCTGTCGCAGACAAATCCTCCACAGCCCCAGAATGCGCATCGCACCACTCTGAAGCTGGAAAAAGTTTGTCCCGCAGCCCCCGTGGGGATGCTCGCGTGGAACAGCCATTACGAAACATACCTACAAACGTCTCCAGTGTGGAGTGAAGGGCAAAGAAGCGATTGGTAGCCTCGTGAATAAGACGCTGCTGTGTCTTCTTTGCCTCCTCTACCCTAGCCAGCTCCGTTTCAAGAACGTGAACACGATGCATCTTCCGCCGGACCTCATCTGTCTGTTGTTGCAATGCCTCCTCAACAGATCGTAGACGCGACTCAAGTTGGGTCTGTTCGTCGCGTGATGATGTTGTAGCCCGTTTCGCACTTTTCTCGGCTTCCTGTACTTTGAGTTGTAGCTGTCGAATTAGGGCTTCTTTTGCTTCAATCAATTCCTTTAACTCTACGGTTGTCGCCTGGGTTTCAATACTCCTCTGCCGCCACTCCTCAAGCTCTGTCCGACACGCCTCTAACTGTTCCGAAAGCCAAGCTTGTTTATTCTCCTTCGCACGTGTCGTTTCCTGTAATTCATGCCACTCAAATGTGCGGGATCGCAACTGCGCCTCAAACTCAGTGATCTGTCGCTGCATCTCCTCCTGGGCCAGCTTCCACTGCGCCTTTTCAAAGTTCAGCTCCTGCTGCAACTCGGCGGACTTCAGACGCTTTTCGTCCTTTGCGTGGCAAAGTTCCACTTCAGTGCGTGATGCCCTATCCCGAGTCTCTTGTAGCTCTTGCTGCAGCTCCGCAATGGTGCCTTGGAGCGCCTCACAATGCAGCGCCAGCTGCTCCATCTTCAGCTTCAAAGCGTCACACTCCTCGGCAGAGGCCTGCTTCTCCCTTAGCAATTTTTCATAGCGTTCATTCTGTGACTCAATCTCATGACCCACTTCCTGCAGCACAGACTCCTCCTCCGCATCACGACGTACCTCGTACGCTTTCAATGCCTCCAAAATCCGTTCCTGCACCTCCTCCTCCGTAAAAAGAGGTTCATTTTTTGTCAGCTGCCTTCCCTTGTTGTGCAATTCATTCTCGCTCACGCCAACGACAATGGGCTCTCCTCCTATCACCTGTTTTCCTTTTTCTCCATCACTCGCCGTGCCGGGGCCTGCAGACTTTTCCAGGTCCCACATCTCCTTTGCCACCGCCTTTGCCGTCTTCTTGGCGGAGTCGGAGAGTCTCACTGTCTTTTTCTTCTTTTTGAACAGACGCTTCTTGACGGCACTGTCCCCACCTCCGGCAGCGGAGGATGGTGAAAGAAACAGCAACGTGCTGGGCTCCTCCGTCGTCACCACGTCATTCCCTGCTGGTAGGGACCGCCGCAACTGCTGTTCTTTTTGCAGCTGTTGAGCCGTTGCACCAAGAGACAAGGCTGGGGCAGTGGCATACGTGACGGTGAATTTCGCCGGGGCCACCGTGTTGGAGGAAGATGTCTTCCCCCTCAGTATCTCCGGTGACGCCGTCTCCGCAAGAAGCTCAAGGGCTGAGCGCACCACGCGTCTGCCGGCACTTCCGCCGCCCCCAGCATTCGCTCTTGCTGCAGTTGTATGTGTTCTTCGCCCGGGCGTAACGTATTCCGTCATCGGAGCAATGCCGCCCTTCTGCTTCACCTCTCAGAGAAAAAAAACCGCGGGCAAACTTGCCCCGCCGCCCACCTCTTAGAAGCGGATCTAACTCTATTTGCTCGGGCCCGCCAACTGCCCTTTTTTCTCTTTTTTTTTTTTTTAAAAGAGCTCGGCCGTATTGCGAGCCTGCGACGCGTTACAAAAAAAAAGAGACAAACTCCAATTATTTTTTTTAAGCGGGGAAAGAGCAAAAAAAAAAAAAAAGGAATGCGTTGGGGTTCCCTCAAGAGTGGCATAAATGCAAATGGTGATTCGTATCGTGGTTGAAGGCACTTTTTTTTTCTTTTTGGGGGGAAGCTCGTATTGGATGACCCAAAATACACAGCGGCAGTAATATATCACATCATGTGGCTCATGGCCACACAAACACACACACAAAAAAAAAAAAAAAAAAAACAGCAAAGAAGGCTGAGAGGGAAGGGAGAAACTCATGGCACATCTTCACCATAACCCCACGGAGTAGACTCAAAGGCAGGTGGGAGCACAATTGCGTGATGCAACAACAACAAAAAAAAAAAAAAAAAACTTCTCGCAATAATGATAAAAAAGAAACAAGGGAGGAAAAAAGGTCTGCCTGTTTATATATGCCCATTTTCCTCTTTGTTTTTTTGTTTTTTCTTTTTTTTTTCCCGTTCATGAGTCCGTCACTCCCCCGTTTTGTTGCAGAATTTTTGCCCTCAAAGTCGTATTTTTCCCACACGCGAGCTGATGCAGTGTATGCAAACAATGCTTCTCAAACTGCTGCCTCCTTGTAAGTTCCTCAGCTAAAAGCTCCTGCCGTGCCGCCTCCAGTTCCTTGCGGTGCTGCAGCCACTCCTTCTTGAACTGAGCAACATAAAGCAGCTGGTCGTCCACATCACGAATCATGGCATCAATAACGCGTAGTGTTCCCTTTGCGTGCCGGCGCTGCACCTCAAGTCGAACGATACGTTCTGTCTTTGCCTGCTGCTGAAGGGCGCTGCTCGTGGCATTCCCCCGGGACATGATGATCCCCGTATATCAGCTATATCTCTAAAATAAACGTAGCCCTTGGCGTTGCTTTTGATGTCTACTGGGTCCTACCCGTGCTGGGTGGGAGATGGACTGAAGCCCAGCTACTCTTTCTTTCTCTTTTTTCTCGCTTTTTTTTCCCTCTTCACCGTTTAAAAAAAAAAAAAAAGGCATTATTACACACGCATGTATTCCAACTACGCACGGAGAAAAAGAAAGTGGGTCCACTCCCCCCCCCCCTCTCTGTCTCTCTCTCTCTCTCTCTGCTCGTCTCGTATTGGTTCAACGGTGTCAGCTGAATCCATAATATTTTGGCAACTCCAAAAAAAGTGAAAAAAAAAAAAAAAAAAAAAAAAGGAAAGACGGCGTTATGACACCTCTTCGGAGCCCTAAAGAAAATCCCCCGAAGAGGTCTTACCAGACCGTTCCAATTGCCGTATTTGTTCGTAGAGAGTTCGCTTCCATATATCCCACCTTGCCTGGGTCTCTTGCACGTCTATTGGCCGCGGCTCCCCAACAACCCGCCGGGCATGATGCTTTTGAAACATTGATCGCTGCATTGCCATGAAAGACGCATTTGCTTCATTCTCGCGCTTCATCAACACCTTTTGCCGACTCGCCGAAGTTCGGAATGTAAACCCATCATGGGAATATAAATCGGACGCCTTACTCCTTCCCCGTTCACTTTTACCTGCTTCTCTGGCGGTGCCCTGAGGCACGGTACTCAACGCCCCTGCGGTGTGACGCCCACGCAACAGGTACTGCGGCTCATAAGAACTCACTGAGTTGATCATGGAAAAAGAAACGACAGAAACATCTTGCTGCCTTCCTTCTGTCCCTCCCGTTTCTGGCCGCATAAGCTCTGGACGGGAAGAAATTCCATTGCCTTGCTCCTTCCGTCCACCCTCATTACTCCCGGTACCACCAGTGGCAGACGGTGAGACAATGTCCTCCTGTTTCTCTACGGACAGCTGGGTAACTGCCCCCTGCATCACCGCCTGGGCAATCTCCTTCCCATTACCACTTGCTTCAGCCCACTCTATTGTATTTCGCCCCATCGCCACTTCGTATGGATCACACCCCTTCTCTAGGAGCAACTGAACGCAACCAACGTGCCCTTGATGGGCCGCCACCATGATGGGTGACACACCCTGATGATTTGGAGTTGTGGGAGTTCCCCCACTATGAATAAGCAGCTGTATCATTTCAAGGTGTCCCTGCTGCGCCGCGATAAAGATGGGCGTAGCACCAGTTTCTCTGCAAGCATTCGGATCGGCGCCAAATTGAAGCAGCAGTCGTGCCACGGCGATGTGGCCGTTCTGCGACGCCAAAAACAGCGCCGTGGCACCACCAGGAGACCTTGCAACGTTCGTATTGGCCCCTATTGAGCACAAAAAATCCACCACTTCTGTGTGACCAGCCTCCGCGGCCAACCACAGACCAGTGCAGCCATCGCTGGAGGCACTCTCCAAGTCACACCCACGAGAAACATAATCCTTCACCGCCGGTAGATCGCCATGTTGGCAAGCTTCTCTAAATGCAGAGTTCAAAGCAACTTCTCCGTATTTCATTGACGCCATTGCCAACTTTTTTTTTTTTAGGTTTGTGTGTATAAGAGTTAGAAAAGACATCAAACAATAAATAAAAGAAAGGGAAAAAAAATTGCACCTAAAGACCTTCAAACAGAAAGGGGGCATGGGGGTACTTTCCAAGACACAAGAGCAAACAGTAGAGAAAAAAAAAAAAAACAAATTCAAGAAATATATAAATATCGCATTTCATTCTTCGTTTTTTAAGTATGTGGGCTTTGGGGAGAAGACACCTCCAGATCTCATACCCCCCTCCCCCCTCCCTTTTTTTTTTTTTTTTTTCAACTTCATTTCACTTGCCGGTCACTTCTTTTCTTTCATTCCCCTTTTTTCTTCTTCTCTGTTCTTCCAGACATGTCCCCACGCGTCCTTTTTTATTTTTCTTTTTTTTTTTTTTTTTTTTCCCTTTAAACCAAAAATACCACACGTGCGTATGACTAAATAAATATAAAATAAATAAATGATTATATGCAGGCTGGGGGCAACCGATCGTTTTTATGCAACAAAAACAAAAGAAAAAAAAAAACACTCGCGGTCAAATTCTCATCATCGGCTGCGTTTCATTCTTTTCGTTTTTGTTTGTTTGTTCCCCCCCCCCTCCTCCTCCTCCTCCTTTTAAGTGGACTCATAACTCCGAAAGAAGAAGAAAAAAAAAAAAAAAAAGAAGAAAAACAAACAAATGGCAGGGGCATATACCCCGAGAGGTGCAAGCGTAAAGAACATGTCCTCAAGTAGCAGTGAAGAACGTGGGGAATTGAAGAGGAAACATGAAAATTAAAAATAAAAATAAAAGTGAAATATGTGCACGGTTAAACTTCTAAGCCGATATTCCAGTCGCGTAATTACATCCCTCCGTGTTTTTTTGTTTGTTTTTTTATCCCCACGACCACAAATAACTCCACATCGCCCACTCCCTCTTCACTCCCCCTTTTTTTCCGTAAATAATTCATTGCGATGTACAAATGTCAACGTGCCAATTTCCAACTTGCCCGTGTTTTTTTTTTTCTCCCATTCACCTCATAAAACTGAACTTCGTAGGATATGGAAGTGGCAAGTGAGTGGAGATAAACAGTCACACAAATAGTTTCATCCATCTTTCTTCTCTCCCCCTCTTCCCTTTATCGCAGGCGCAACAACAGGGAACATCGCCCTCCACCTGCCTTCGCTCATACGAGTAAATACACACGCAAAAACAAAACACACTCGCAAATAAACGCGATATATCTCCTAATTATTTTTTTTTTCTTGTCTGCTTTTATAAGGGCTTCTGTTTCTTTTTTAATAGTAATAATAATAATAATAATAATAAACTTACTTTTCTGTCCCTGTTCTTCTCACTACTCACCATTGCTATACATTCCTTACGATAGAAGCGGCTGCTCAACATTGTCAGTGGCACCCAGACTCATTCCACGAGAACGACGACGCCATCTCTTCTTCGAAGATGGCTGCCATTTACCTTCCGATATTGTGCGGTAGCTAAATATGTCAAATCTCTCCAGTACTTTGCATGCCAGCACCTTTACAATTTCCTGTATAAACCACCAGCCAATGCACCAAATCCATACCCAGAGTGGCAGCAGACGGTGCGCTGTGCCATCACCATGTGAAAGACCAATGACTGTGATGTTGTCCATCTTCCTGTCAGGCCAGAAGGAAGCAACGCAAGAAGAAGTTGCCAGTGAAACGACGGCGCCAAGAAAAAGGACAAGGCTGGGCCTAAACGACCAGAACCAGTTGGGGCCAGTGCGAGAGGAAAACAGCGTCAAAAAGTCGGAGATGGAAACCTTTAGGTACAACATCGTCACAATCTGGCCTTCTGACACGGGTGGAATACCGAGATTGTAAAACCACGACGAGGTGTCGTGAGAGTCAAGTGCCATCCAAAGCAACAACAAGGACGATACGCACGCCACACCAGCAAGCACAGAAGCAATGGTAAACACAACAGGTAGATTCCATCGTAAAGGACGTTGCTCGGGCACAACATTATCGTATCCAATCGTCATCAAGGTCCCATCATTAAGCAATGTAATAAGCATAAACAACAACACCGGAAAGGGAAAGAAACGGAAGTCCGGATCGTCAATGCCGTAGTCCTGGCACGGAAGGGCAAA